AGTCCAAGGAGCACTGTGCCACTATTGGACATGCAGATACACAGTGCACCCTGACCCTCCCTATGCAATTGGACATTGTTTTTGCAGGACAGCCCCTTCTGCACTGAGATGTGTGCACCTTCAAAGAAAAGTCTATATGCACTTGATTTCAAATCACCACTCCATGGTTTTGCATAACAAGACATCAGCATCCTCCTTTCTTGTTTTGTTGTTTTATGGACCTATTAATCAGGCAAAATGTTACCAAAAATGTCATCCTCTAGCCTGAATGCTGAATGGGGATGTGGAGATGTAGATATCTTCTCATCTATAATTGGTGCTTAATTGCTCGTTCCTCCTGTGGGATGTCTCTCACTTGCACACCCATCTTCTACTCTCCTTCAGAATCTCTCATGGTGAAAAAGGTTGTGCTCCAGGCATTCTGCATCTTATCATAAACTTAAAGGACCAGAAGCGTAACGATTCATTTTACATGCCATTATATTCCCCACATGATATTAAGCAGCTATTTTGTTTTTGCAGAGTCAATGCATTGCTTTTTGAAGAGCTTATGGAGGCCAGAAGCTACAGGCAGTTGCCTTCTCCTTGAAATGCCTGCCTCGCTCCAGCTATTTTGACAAAAGCCAGAGTTTCTTGTTCATCAGCTGATGATGGCAGACAAAAGCAAAGCCGAGAGTCAGAGTAGTTGCTGGAAAATGATTCACACTCGGCTTCCCACCGGTACTGCATGCAATGAGGCACTGCAAGCCCTGGTTGAAGGCTGAGGCTTTAATTAGATAGCCAGCTAATGGAAGACCTTTAGCCCAGTGCAGAATGAGAACTTCCGTACTCCCTTTGAAATAAATGAATTCCCACGGTCTTACACTATAAGGAAGCCACCGGGCAAGATGGGAGGACCAGAACCTGTTCACACATGAATCGGGTAAAAGCCATCACAACAGCCAAGACTTCTGTACAAAAGAATCCATGGGTCCAGTTTCAATCAGGCCAAAATTACGGCCTTTTTCATTTCCAAAAAGTAGTCAAATTCATATGGGAGGAAAATAGGTTGGCCTTTTGGTAATTTTGTAGGTATTTTTACTTTGTTTACAGAGGGGAGGGCTATCCGATGACCAAGTGATTGCCATTTCCATTGCCCCCACTGCTCTTCCAATCATCTCACTAGCCAGGGTAAGGAAAGGACTGGGGGCAGGGATGAATTAATATCACCCATCCCAATGACAGAGTTAGCAGAGATGGCAAAATTGACTTGTTTGATTAGAGAAAGGACAATAGCTACATTTATTAGTGACTGGAAATCCCTTATGGACTTTTGCTGAAAAAAGAAAAAAATGAACTTGTGATTTATGGGTTTGATGATTAAAAAGGGTAGACTATGGAAAGAAGGAAATTATGTTGTAACCTTAGAGAGAGAGGGCCAAGTATAAATGTACTTGTAACTGCTGTTAAGGAGACTGGAAGCTGCTTCTTTATAACTTTTTTTCTTTTTTTTCTTTCTTTGCATTTTTTTTTCATTTACTTATAACTTTTTTTCTACTTTCCTTATTTTCCCTTTCAAAATTGGTACTGTTTTTATTCTTTTAAAAATGTCTTTAATAAAAATTGTATATATATGCGTGTGTTGCTATGATATGGAAGGTATTTGAATTGAACTACCACTTCTTCCTCTTCCTCCTCCTCCTCCCCTTAAAACAAGCTGAGGGATGATTGGGGATACAGCAGCATCATTTTCTCTGACTTAAAACTTCTCATTGCCATAATTTTAAAAGGAAAAGTGGGAGTTTGAATCAAGTGTCTCCCAATCTCCCAGTTGGTTTACAGCTGAATAATAGGTGGGATAACACTAAACATCAACAACAATGACTTTGTGCCATCCATATACTCCTTCCTATCCAGATCTGCCATAAATCCTAAACTGAATCTGTCTTCTTCTGTGGATAGTAAGAGATATGGGGATGGGTAAGAGATTTAAATTTGTATAAAGGGAAAGAATGAATGTTCATTTTTGTCCTCCCTGTCCAATGCATCTGTCTGGGATCTGTACCATTACATGTAAGCAAAGATAAATATGCTGAGATGTTACTCGCAGATCTCACATTGAGTTTAGCTCTTCATATATTTCTCCAAGACATAGACTGTACCAGCAGGGGGCACTAGAGTGACACTTTCTCACACTTAAGTGTTCACTTGTGGCACACTTCCCACCATGAACTTGGCTGTATATTACCCATTATCAAAGTCTAGGAGCCTGTAGGGGGACAAAAGGAGTTATTTAAAACGTTGCACAAATATCACGCAGAACCAATAATGACTTTGTCCAGCAGGTGCAATGCTGTGAGCAGCAGGTCAACATTTTTCCTGCTCCTGGATGGGAATGAAACACTTCTGCCCTTCCCAAGGTCCCATTTGAGAAGCGAAGCAGCACGGAGAAAAAATAGATTATAAGAACTAAATGCAAAAACAGGAGGGAGGAGAAAAGATACACAAATATTTCCAACCTTTTGCCTTAAATCTAAAATTGTGCAGCTTTAATTGAAATGTTTACAAAAGACCTGTTCTAATTAGCGATTGCCCTAATTACTTGAAAACAATGGGCTCCCTTTTAGATCCCGTTAAAAGATTTTCTGATGAAGCACTTCGGGTTATAAAACTAAAGGATGTCCCTGCTAAAAGCATTCAATGCTAATTCAATTATATCTGTTTTTAAGCCACCTGCTCCAAAGGAAGCAGAAAAACCAGCATTCCCAGAAGGTTTGCACTTTCGATTTTGTTTGGACTCTTGGCTGGAGCAACAACGTGCATTAACTCACATTCAACTCCTTCCTTTCCTCTCCAGTTATCTTCCATCTCGGCTGCCTCAGAAGGGGGGACTCCATCCTCGCAGGGGAGCAGTATGCACACTTGCTCTACACTACTACCATCTAGTGGACACTTCTGGAGATTAGAGCAGATAGGTCACAGAAGCCGCGTGCAGAAATTAAGATTTTGAAGCCTTTTGTCCAACGGCGAAGCTCATCCTCTAACCAAAAGACAAACAGCAGCCAAATTTGCACAGTACTGGCTTAGGCAGTTTGGATAACAGACTTCAGACATATTGGCAATATACCAAGTCTGCTGTCACTGAATGCTTGGCATGGCTCCTGTGGCTGGCCTTTTGGGCCACCATGTTTCAAATGTGCAGTAAGACAGAACAAAGCAATTGGTCTAGCTAGGAAAAACAAGCATGGGGTCCTCTGTTGTGAAACTCTTCTCTTCCGTTTGGCACTAGGCTCCTAGCCTTTCTATAGGTAAAAATAAGAACACCTCCCTGCCCAAAATGTGCCCTGTGCAATGTGACAGAAACACAGAATCCTTTGTCTCAACTTGCTGGCTTTTCTTTTTGCAAGTGACTTCTTAGTTCACATCCACCCCCACATCCACACCTTGCAATCTGAAATGATTCTGGGGTTACCCTCAGTGAGATCTTGGCTGACAAGTGAAGGAAGACTTTATAGTAAACCTTCTCATAGAAAGGACCATGCTTGGCCATTTTAAGCTTACTGAAGAAGCACGCCAAGAAGAAAAGTACCAAAAGTTGAAGGGAATATTCAAATATCAGTCAAATGCAAAACTGTTCTAGGGCTGTTAAAATAGGATAGGCAGCTTGAGGAGGGCTTGGAGGATATGCCCCTTTGGGACCATATTTCAAATTTCTAATGATCATTTATTATGAACACATGAAAGGTCTGAACTTTTCAGCTCTGTCCACTCTGGGAGGCCATAAAAAAGATTCTGCATTCAAGGTGGGAAAAAAGCAGCTGTATAAACTGATTATCAGAAAATTAGACAAATATAAATTATATAAATATAAAATATATATAAATATATATAAATAAAATATAAAAAATATAAATCACAGTCCTGATCTAACTTTGGTTAACTGCAAAAGTAATGATGCCCATTTTCTCCCTTCAAGGTATTTCAACCCAAGCAACTTTAGCTGGATTAAGCTCAGTATTTAGCTGAGAAAAAAAATCCACATGTATTACTGAGCAAGTAAAAGGGCCATTGTGCATTTGGGTAAATACAGTATCAGAAACAATGAATAAATTGTTGACTTTATGAAAAACTAGCATGCCAACATTACTTTCATCTAGCAGTGAAAGGAAATATAATGTATGCATATAGACCCCAAATAACTTACCCTCAAATCAAGCAAAGGCTTACAGATAAAATCAGTATAAAAAACTGGAAAAACATTAAAATATTGGGTGGCTTGCTAACATGCAAAGAAAAACATCTCCTACAGAAATCACTCTTCCTCCAATCAAAATATTCCAAAGAAAAATGGCAATTTGTAGGGAGGGGGAAAGTTTCTTTCTATCCAGGGTCAACAAAAGAAAAGCAAGGGTTTCCCCCGCTCTGGGTTTGGTTATAGACCCAAACTTTGTTACCTCCCAATTGGCAGTGGAAAGAACTATCCTGTCTCTACTATCTTTTCTTTTCTGTCTTGCGCAATCCTCTTAAAGAACCCAGCCTACCAGTTTCCGGTTCTCTTATCTGGTATTACTGATACTCCAGTATCATCAGATCTGGACTGCAGGCTGCATTTTCTTCCTGCCACTGATGCAATCCTTCCTCTGAAGTTCTGAGAGAGCTCTTAATTTCCCACTGATAGCAAGGAGTTCCCTCTCTCTCACACACACACACAAATGCATTCCTAAAAAATGGGGAAATGTTTGCAAATGACTGAGCTGCTGAACAGAACTCTGGCAACTTTCCCAGCAATTGTAACTCAAAGGCTGAGCTTTCCTGTAGATTCTATTCTACTACAAATTGCTGTTTGCAGTTTGCTTTTTGTATTTTCCTGCTGCTGGTTGACCTGGTTGTTTCACTCTTTATTACTATTATAGGTATCTTATTACAAATGTATTGTATGCATGTCAGTATAGAATGGTTAAAATTAAAAAACAAAACATTGCTAACAATGCTTCTGTAAAAAATGACTCTGGAACAGCTTATAATTACAGTGAGACATTTATTGCCGTCAAGACTGAACTCCTGATACAGATGCTTACACCCATCAAGCTTTTTTTTTTTTTTTTGAAAACACGCACACATGTACATACATTGCAGGGGTTCAAGCAACAATTCCTTCTTGGAAATAAAATCCTTAGGAAAAGAGACTAGAAGGCCATTGGCGCATTCTTTAACAAGTATTTGCAGGGCCAAAGCACAGGCTTGTTGCTGAGTGGCGCTTTTGCCTTGCTCACATATCGCACGTAGGTTAGCTGCAACTTTTCCCAACTCTTAAGACCAAAGTCAGAAAGTTGGGGCATTTGCACCATGCAGGCTCTGTCTGATACTGAACTTGGCACTTGTCCTTCAAATGTGCCAGCAGTATCCCATTTGACAAAAGAGAATACTGAGAAAAAAGCAAGCAGAGAGAAAAAAATCCAGTCCTGTGGTGATGCCTGCATTACAAATGTGGAAGCGCTCAGAGCCTGTCATCTCAAGCCAAGGACCGTGTCAACGGTATTTCAAATTGTACTGCATAGCTGCAAACCAGAGTTCCCAAGGTTCAGTGGAAGAGCAGCAAGAATAAAATTAGTTCAAAATGTGTCATGTCAAATTATTCATTTCTCCAACATCAGGCATTGAAACTGAGGCTCTAAAAATCAGGATGTGCGTAAACCACCAGCCAGAGGTTTGTGATTTCTAATGACCAGCAACAGAAGTTGGACACGGATGTTCTTTTGACAACGAACTGTCAAGGAGAACAAGCGCAGATGTACCTGCACTTTACTCTGAAACAGTGAAATCAAAAGCCAGGCATGCTATTCTTTCCCTTCTTCTGTGACAGGCTTTCCCCTCTGCCAGTTGAGGAGCCGTTCTTTTCAGATTCCTCTGAAATATTTGCATGGATGAGGGAAAAACAAGTTTTTCATACTTACTTCTCCACCAAACTAGGCCGCTGTCATTCACTGTGTGGAATAGCTTCACCAAGACACCGGGGTATTTCTACTGCTGAACAAAAATTAAATTCTATTCATCTTCAGCCCCAATGGGGTTTCTGTGAAACCAGAAATGAAGTCTCTGACAGCATGAGCCATGTGAAGTGAGAAATGTACTACTGATTGACGTACAATAAATTAGTATCAATAAAATTGTAAATATTTATCTTTGCATCACTGACCAAAGGTTCGGAGCTCAAAGTGACAGAAAATCTTCGAGCGAAAAAGGCTGTTTTATGATGTGCTAGTAACAGACACTCTTCACGTCAGATATCCACAAATCCTATCCAGTGACAGCCAATATGTCTGCTGTTACATAGGATGACCAACACTTCATAGAAGGGACTAGATCCATAGTATGGCAGAGGTTAAATGTAGCTTCCTTCAATAGATAATGGAAGGAAGACTGCTTGGGAGGGGGAGGAGGAAGAGGAGGAGGAATAGTAGAAGCAACTGACACCACTTTATAGCTGTCCTCCATAGCTTATTTCATACCACTGAGGTAAAAATCTTGTAAGCAGCTAGACAATTCACACAGTACTCAGTTCACAATGTTAAACTTATCAAGTTGTCACAGAGAAGCATTTTTAAACACTGTCCAGATGGAACTTATATTTAAAATCAACCTTAGCTTTTGCCAACAGATGACTTGAGTTTTAAGACAACCTGAGTTTCAAAAATCTCCACAGATTTTTCTTCAACAGAAATGCACAGAATAGGAAAACCAAGAGAGCCAATTTGGCTAAATATTCCACATCTGAAGGTAGGATTTTTTTCTATTTTAGTTCTGCTTACTTTTTCTTTTTCAGTCAAACTAAGGATTAATCATTACTGTAAATTTATCCATTCATAGATTATAGACTGTCCAATAAAGCAATCAGAATATTAATCCTTTTCCTCACAGATAAGTGTTCTACCCATTGTATCTACACAACCTCTAGCATCAAACTTTCTTTTTCAAGGTTTTATGCATATCCCTACTGGCTATCAGACTATGCCTTGGTAGCTTTTAAAGTTTTTAAACTATGCTTTGGTAGTATACTTTCCATTCTGGCAAGCAAGCAGCAAGCCTAAAGAAATTACATATGAATTGGCGTGAATTCATGCAGAAACGAATTAAGCTGTCCTGAGTTAAACTGCTATGGGTTGAGGGCAGACAGGAAGATAGGCTGTTTCCAAATACTTTTTTATACCTAGTATATGAGAAGTAACGCCTTGGAAATTAAGCTTAGCACCTAGAAGTTCAAGTAACAGCAACCAACAAACTATTTAAGATTTATATGATTTCAAAATAAGAATGATTTGGAAATATTAATGATCTATAGGGTTTAGGCAGAAACAAAGGTCAAGGAATGAGATGATTCCAGAATTACTTCTGCTTGCAAGTTCAGTAATGACACTTTAGAAGCTATGTGGGGAAAAAAGCAGCAAAAGAAAATCAGAGAGAAGTTCTGATCTTCTGAAATTAAGTTCCAGCCAATAAGGGAACCAGATGCCTGCAAGAAACTCCTGCACTCAAATAATTAACAGAATATTCTAGAAGACAAAAACAGTAGCAAGAAAGAGAGTGATGCTCAGGGTAGTAAATGCATAGAATCAAAAGTGCAAGCAATATCCCATTTTACAAATGTGATTGTACCAAGGAAGTTTGGCTTTCATCACATAGAAACAAAATACTAGGTAAGGTATTAAACTTAGTTTTAAAAAATCATCATAAATTGCTAAGAATGAAACAAACAGGTAAAGTGTATTAAATAACTAAAGTATATATTCAGCTTTTGATGTGGAAAAAGAAAAGAAAAAGGAAGAATGTATTGTATTTAATATAAATGTATTTGGTTCAGATATGGGAATAGGCCACTAATGGAAAAATATACAACTAAATTTGAACAATCCATTCCAATATTAGCTTTTGACCCTATTACTGAAGTACATGAAGCTGTCCAAAGTTCCAGAATACATATGGTACTGACTTTCAAAACAGAAGAAAAAAATGGGATTTTTTTAAAGCAAGCGATATCTATGAATCTAGTGAGTTAAAGAAAATCATCCTAAGCAAAGGTCAAACTTTGTGCCATCCAACAGAAGTCAAAACAGATATCAATCACTTTGGATCCAGCCATAAGACTCTTACAATAAAGAGTCCAAGGGGAGTGGATGATGTAACGATGCACATGATATCTTGCAGCTTCTACTGGACACCTATAAGCCTACTCTAAGTGCAATCTAGATGGAAGTCCCAGAAAATATATCTGAAAGCAGCAGAGAAGACTATCTTGGAGAGAACCTTTTGATGTTGTACACTACAAGAGGCTGGAGAAAGTCACATTAGAAAGGGCAACTAGAGTAAAAAAAATTCTAGTAAAAAAATTTACTAAAACAAACAAACATATAGAATGGCAAAGGAGGACTGAAAGAAAGAAGACACCATGGAAGACACACATTTTGCATACATCATTCCCATTTTTGTTAAAACAAATACAATTACACAAAAATTCATTTGTATGCTATGCATATTGCTTCCTAGCTCCTTTCCTTGACTGTTACCATATTTACTACCATGCCCTGAATTACACTGATAACTTAAAATATGTTCTGAGTAATTCAACACTGGGGAAAATTAAATGTTATGTGCATTTTCACGCTTCACCTAATTTAAAGTAAAAGTCAAGGGTGAGAGCCATTCAACTTTCTCATGTCTGCACTGAAAACTGCCTAACGTGATTATTTTCACCTCTTTTGAGGGAAATATGGGCTCCAAAAGGGGTGGACTTGAGTGAGTCAGGAAAACCTCTTCCCCAGGCTGCCCTGTTCTGGGTAATTATTATCATGCAATTCAGGGTTCCAGCATCCCAAAGGAGAATCATTTTTCCATTAGTTCTTGGTGGTAGCAAAACCTTCAGCCAAAGTATTCAGAAGAAGCAATGAGGCTTTCCTTTAATTGCCTGTTTTGCTTCCAACACAAGGATCAGATGCAGCAGCAAAGCTGTGTGCCTTCTAAAATGCTTCTGATCCCCCAAAATATGTTAAAAAAAAAATATCTGATGACAAGATTTCCCCATCCCCCAAATGCTTGATTTTTACTCTCTGGAGAATACTAGGTAAATTATACTTGATTTTGCCATTCAGACAAAAATATATCACAACTGACCTTTGTGTAGCACAACTCAGTCATTAGAAGATTGTCCAGTTATTCTAGGAATGCAGAATGACTCACCAAATGTATAGTATTAATTATGCTTTTATAGATGCTTTGGAATTCTACATAAAATTGTGGAAAACCTCATGGTATTTCCCCTACTTCAGGGAATCTTCTCTAGTTACTGACATGTTGAACACATTCCCCATAAGCATTTTCATGGCATGGTCCATGTGCATGCATTGTTACATCTTGCACTGTTCTGACAGATGCTGAATAATACAGGGGTGCTGTGAATAGCACCAATTTTTGAAATAATCATCATGCATTCTTTTCAGCTGTTTTAAACATGCTTCTCAAGAACAAGCAGCATCTGAAAAGGATCACTGTGAGCCAAAAAAGAATTGGAAAAATCCTTCCAGATATTGCAAACAAAGTATTTTCTGTAGTTACTAACTGTTGCTGGGAAATCAGTATCCCAAAGCCACTAGACAGTGCACGACAACACCAAGCATACATTCAACAATTTCTTTTTTTAAGCCACACACGTACATCTTAGTCTTTATTGTGAAGACACCGAAATGGATGGAAAAAGCTGAAATTTCTGGGTTGAAAATGATATTGAAACAAGCTCAAACTAGGGAAGCCACACATATTGTTCGCAGGTAGAAATGGGTGGGGAAAAATGTAGAGAAAACTGGGTTGAGGGCCTAGTTTTTATAAATACCAAACAAAATGTCAAATGCTGCTTTCAATCACTGAAAAAGAAAAAATAAAAGATGAATTGATAAGGAAAGGCTTTTTCTAATTACAGTAGTTGCAGTGCAAATTCCTTCTTCCTCTCCATTCATTTTGTGAATGGAGCCCCTTTACACCTCAGAAGCCCTGCAATGCACAGCTGGACTGGTGCTTTTGGCCCCACCGTGCATAGTGTATGGAGAAGGGGGAGATGGCTTCAGGCAAGCTATTTCCTACAGCTGAACTCTTCATTCTCTCACTATGTATTACAGCATTCTGTCCCATCATTTAAATTGATTCACATTTCTTACGGAAGTGTCAGTGTCACGACTGTACAGCTTTTCCAGAGCTGCTTAGCCAACTCTATATACTGTGTATCTTAAATAGTTACTTATAGTGATAGTTGCTCCATATCCAAGCCACACAATTTTGAAAGCCACACAGCCCGCGTATCTCCCAAAGCTTAGGGGATCTCTTTTTGGGGAGGCCGCATCAACTGTAGGTAAATTCCAGTCTACCCAAACAGACAATTGGCTCAAGATGTTCTTGTTTCTATGTCTATAATCCTTTCTCTCTTTTTGCCAAAAGAAAGGAAAAAGAGTTGCAATACTATCCCTTTTCACCACTGCGGTGCTATTGCTGGAATCAGTCCAGTGAGATCAGTGTGCTAGGTGAACAAGCAGGACATTCTCTCCCCGAATGAAAATCTGGTTTATGTGTCGTGTAAACACTTGCTGATAATCCACTTTGGGCCTCTGCTTTTTTCGTGAACGGCCTCTTCTGCCAGCTGTGCTCTTCTCCTCTGCTTGGGAGATTCCGCTGGGCAAGTCCGTGTCCCTCCCAGAGACTTTAGGCAAACTAGAGCTTCGTGTCCTCTCTCTGCTGGCGTGCTTCTTTGCTCCATGCTCCTCCTCTGATCTTCCCCTACCTGACTCAGATTTCCTCCCCGATGTCCTTGGATCATACGGAAGGGCTGGCAAGTCTGCAGTCGCCTTTGAATCGGCTTCTTTTTTAACCAAGGATTCCTGCAACCTCAATCTGTCAAAGAGCTACAGAGAAACATTGGGAGTAAATTCACAAGTTATAATAGATGGCCTCATCTTGTTTTATACTCAGACTGACCTGTTCAAGCCGTGGATGAGCACTGGAAACTAATCTTGTTAAATGAGATCCCAGTGCTCTTTTGTCCAATTAAAATAGATTTAGTAAGTCCTCTTTTGCAAAAGAGAGGATCTATTTTTCCTCAGTCAACAAGTTCTCCAAATCTTGCATTTTCTATAGATGTGACCATGCATGATTCACACACTTCTCGTACAGTACACATACTGCAGATCAGGCAGGAAAAATTTCTCACAATTTTGTTCCCCTTTATTGTGTCCCAGAGGCCAAATAATTGATACAACTGATTTGAATTAAAATCCCTTTGGGGCGGGACTGTATCATTTCAATTTTATATAGTAGCCAGTGCACTGCCAACATTAAATGTTAAATGGTAGTAATGTACATACATTTATGCTGGAAAAATCTAATGAAGATTTGTCATGAATGCAATGGCTGGGGAAGAGTGCAAGTTCACCTTTTTGATTACTGCTATATAGCGCTACATGCCCACAGAAAAAAGCTATCGCAGGACGAATACCCCCAACAATAATCACTTTTCTCAATCAAAACAAGCGTGACACATTAAATGCTAAGTTATTAAGCAATATGTATCAACCACTCCTATGACTGAGCTTAGAATATTCCTCCCAAAGCAAGCAAAATTTGCATCAATATGGCCAGAGCAAGATCTGCATTTAGGATTTTAAAAGACACACTTTGCAAGAGAACAGACACATGTAGGCACTGAAAAGAAGTGGCAAACAGGATTCTGTCCTGGGTGAACCATGAAGAAGCCGAATGCTAGATCACCTTCTGACTTCTCCCTCTGATGGTTCATGAGTGAGCTCCCTGTTCGTTTTTATTTAAAAGTCTTCTGTTCTGTACGCATATGTTCATTCATTCTTTACTCCCACCTTCAAACATTTATCAACTACTTCTTTTTATTAAACAGGGTTTGCCAAGGATGGAGCTAGTGAGCACTGAGGATAAGTCCATGCACATGTTGAAATGATACAGGAGCAGACAGCAATCTGTAGAGCTCCCTGCCCAAAGAAATGCTGTTAGTATAAGTAGCAGGCCTGCCTCTAGAAGACGATAAACCTAGTCTGCTCAGCAGGCCCTCTATTTACACTAGCAGGATTTCTTTGTGCAGGGGAACTCGGTATTCCACATGTCATTAATGTGTGGCAAGCAGGTTAGTAGCAGGTTAATCCTTCCAAATTGCACACACACACCACACATTCTTTTGTGCACGTGCAGTAGGACTGTCTGAAGTCTTCTACAGACACTAGTCAGTTAATAGAAAACCCATACCAAGGACTGCTCAACATTGTTTTTAAAAAAAGAACCTTGCCCAAGAACAAATACACATGCTCTGCCAATTATAAAAAGAATAAAGAACCTTCCTTCTTCCTTGCCAGCAGTGATATCAGAACTTTATAAGGCAGGGGAAGACAGGAAAGAGCCACCTAGCCCTTCTTAAATAGAAGAGTTTGTAACAGATTTACTTGAAACTAAACGCTCTTTTTGACTGGAAATCCCTTATAGACGTTTTGCATGAAACAGAAAAAGATAAACTTATGATTTATGATTTTGATGATTTGAGAGGATAGATTATAGAAAGAAGAGAGTTATATTGTAACCATAAAGTAAGAGGTAGATTTATAATTGTACTTATAACTGCTGTAAGGAAGATCAAAGCTGCTTCTTTGTATCTTTTTTCTTTCTTTTCTATTTTTCTTTTCCTTTTTTTCCTTTCTTGCACTTTTAGCTTTCTCTTTGATTTCCTTCTTTTTCTTTTCTTTTTCTTACTTTATATTAGTTTGAACTAGTTTTTATCTTCTTTTTAAAAATATTTAATAAAAATTATATATTTATGTAAAAAAAGAAACTAAACACTCTTTAGCCTGAAATCAGCTAAGTGTCACTTCTGATGTGTCTTTTTGAAGTGCATGTGATATTGTGCACATGGAGAATGGAAACTTACTCTGGTGAGGGTCAACTGTGGCTCCACATAGAAAGCTTTACCCAGCACTGGTTTTCGGTATGTCTCATCTACATCTGTCAGGGCCTAGGGCAAGGGAAATAGGCAGAAAGTCTTAAAACATGCAGGGTCTTCTTAACATAAATTTTGGAGTTGAGGTGGGGAAAGGTGACAGGAGTCAGAAGGATACTCACATGAAACAATGATTTAATACTTGTCTCACTGACTGAGATATCATAAAAGAAAAAGCAGGAGGATGTCCACCTTGCTCATCCAGAATTTTAATTTCATGATGAGAATAAGCCCATTTGGATACGCTCAAAGCATTTAACAGCAGTTCCATACACTTAAAGTGAAGATTCAGAGCCAAGGTTCTTTGACATTTTTTGTGCATTGGAAATGCCACACCCAAAACTCTTGCTTGCTCTCCCACCTGCGTACATTCACATCCTGGGTGGTCTGAAGCTTTCAAGTAAATGCTGGTAAAAACCACAGAAAGGAAATGTTCATCATTTACCATATTCCAGAACTTGTCAAATGCAACCAAGAATCCAGTGCAGACACCACGAAGCCCCTTGAAAGTTCGAATATGGACGTTGACCTTTACACCATCACGGACACAGCGGTGGAGTTCCCCAAGTGGACTGCCTTCATGAACTGGAAAGAAAAATAACAACCATCATTGGCCATAGAAGCAAAGAGTTTGCAGCTATTATTGCTATTATTATTATGCTATGAATTCTACTTCTGCCCACAAGGCATAAGAGGGAATACCCACAGGATACTTTTGAATGATAGTATCAGGAACTATCCATCTGAAAGCACCCAAATGTTCTATCTACCTTCTCACTGAGCATTAATTGGCACAGTTCTTTTATTTTATCCCCCTCTAAAAACAAAAAGTACATTTTTATTCTGTGACAATCATTTAATCAAATATTGTATAATGCTTCTGCAAACATTAACAAGTATTATTCTTAACTTCATGGAATTTATTTTTCTCTGGCTTTAGGCACTGCAGACTTATAATCAATCATCTACGGAGCCTATGGGGATGTAATTGGATATGCAATAGTGGTAAATGGATTTTTAGTACAGAACACATGCTTAATATCCTAGTTCTAAAGGATTATTAAAAGGCTTGTTACTATGCAATAGTTAATATTTCTGGTTGATAATCATGTCAGTAACCAAACAACAATCAACACAGTCTAAATTCTAATCTTGCAAATGATTAGTCCTTTGTATCTCATCATTTATTATGAGTAACTATAAATAAATATACCAGCCATCTGCCTTGATGACATTAAAGGATCATGTTAGCATTAAAAGGGTACTAAATTACCTAGTGCAGAGATAGCAGTCCTGGATTTACTGTTTTCTAGAGTGTGGATTCTGTAAGTGTGTCACATACACACAGATAGCACAGATATTGGGAATGAGGAAATGTCCAGGACTGGTTCCAAGTAGAGTTGGCAACAAGTCTTTCTTTTGGGGAGGAAACATTTTAAGATATAGCCAATTGCAGATTCTCTGAGCCAGTTTCAATATTCCTCTTTTTCCCCAGCTTCCTATCATTTGAGCATCCTTCCACAACCTGGATACCTCCTGTACTGTAGATTTCAACTCTGACTATTCTCAACAAAAAGTAGGATGGCTGAGGAATTCTACAAGTTGAAGTCACCCATCTGGAGGATGCCCAGACTGGAGAGGAGTGCACAAGGTCATTTAGGCACACTTACTACATGTAATTTTCCTACTTCACTGCAAATTGCCGCACTGTACTATACCACCTCCATGGCCATTAGAATCTGGAATCCCTTGGAAGATCACTAAGATAAGCTCAATGAAGCAAGTGCTTCTATACTTTATAAGCCAGATGAGAAGTAGAAGATAAATCTTTTTTGGTATTATCTCTATGTATCAGTCTGAAAGCAGAACCCAAGGAAGTTAACCTCTTTCTCTTCTACACTGATAGACAGCTGCAATTATTTGGTTCACATTTAATTCCAATCTCCAGTCATTTCATATTTTTTTCACAACAGGAAACAAACTAAAAATAGTAAGATTAATTCAGATTTAAAAGAAGAGGGAATTCAAGATCTCTTCCATGAAGTTTCATCATTTTAAAAATCTTTGTATCTTTATCATTCTTAAAACTCAATAATTTTTTAACACAGGATTTTCCTAAATATTATTATCAGGATAATGCTTCCAGGAACAAAAATCAGTAACACAAAATCAGACCTTTTGCAGTTCAACAATGGATTAGAATCCAATAATAAAAAAACCCACTTCTTCTAATTATTAAAAAAAATGTAAAAATAATTTTGTGCCAATCCAGAGCGCTTAAAAAATTCAATCAAATATTCTTCTAATGTAAATTAATGTTTATCAACAATCCATAAAATTATATATTAATTTTGAAGCTCTGCTGCCTAGAGAGGTTTGATGCTATTAAAATATTTTACCAAGATAACGTGTGTGTGTGTGTGAGAGAGACAGAGAGAGAGAGAGAGAAAGAAAGGGGAACATTTTATAATAGTGCCAAATATCATACTAAAAACAACAAGTGATGCAAAATAAACAGGCAACATATTCTTCAAACAGCATGGTTAAATCTGAGAGTACCATTCAGTTAAGTATGTATAAAATAGGCTCCATGTGAAAGCAATTCACTGATCAAACAGTAAATTATTATATCAGAAACTTGCATTAATACACCTGGAAACACCAGCCTGCATGCTGAATAAACTACAGAAACATTTTGGCGGCTGCTCCAGCAAACTGGCAACAAAAAATCCCAATTTTGATAATGCAGCACCAATGCTGGCAACATGTAGTTAAAATTGTGGCCCAGCCCCATACATACTCAGCATGCTATGTACTTGGATAGAGAAAGACAACACATCTTTCCCAATGAAGGCCACAAAAATAAGAAGTGGTGATAAACTGATCAACCTAAATCTGCCCTATACCAGTCTAATAGCTTTACGGATTTTTTTTCTTAAAGCTCCTTCTTAAATGAGAAAATTCATATCTGTCATCATGTCTACTTTTCTCTACTAAAAAGACCCCAAGTTTTACGTGCAACTTTTCCTGATTATACTTTAAAAAAAAATGCAACTATTCCTAACACATGGTCTTTTTGAGATGTACATTTTCCAAATACACACTACTTTAATACAACTTTCCCAAATGTATTTTCTTCTACTGGGCAACACTTTCCCAGTGCTAGGGTATTTTGTACAAATTCTGGAGCAGAAAGCAACATGTATGATCAGGCTTCATTCACTGCTACCCAACTATGCCACAAGGAAGTTGCTTTGGGCAGATTGTGCTCTTTTACTCCCCCCAGAAATCAGTGGCGTACAATTTGCCTGTTCTATTCCTTGCGATTTGAAGGTAGGTAGGCAGGCCTGGTTTTTAGGATGCAGCAATGGGTAGACCAAGGGCCAAGTCAGCATTTAATAACACCTCACGAAAAGGGAAATCTGGATTTTTTATTTAGGCTAAATAGCCTAAATTGTACAATTGTCTAGAAAATGTAATGATATGAATAAAATATCACATATTTATATTTATGATATATATGAACGATATATTAATAAAATCATTAATAGGAAAAATATGCTATGTGGGACTTTATGAATGCAAAAGATAAAGTATACTTTCCAAACTTCATTATTTTCTAAACAAAATGCTTTCACTGAAAATATTTTACCATATTAGCCATGTCTTCCAACCTATTCTACTGCAAGCATTTATTTTATGCTTAGATATGGAACAGAGTTTATTTGTTAGGTATTTGATAATGTAAAGTAATTTGTCAGTAACATAAAACACTATTCTGGGATTGGCATCATGGCATCCACAAGTGTCGGGACATTTGTTGCATCCCAAAATGCAGACTGCAGCTCCCTAATTAATGACAAAGACTAAAACTATCCCAAACTTGTGAGATTGACAAATCTCCAAGATTTGAGCAATCTCACTTAATGGCCTTGTGAAATATGGCCATTTAAAACAACAACAACGTGTTTAATTGTGTGAATGCACCTGTTATTTAAAACATTGCAACTCCTGAATTAAGGCTCAACATCTAGCATTTTCAGTTTGATATAATCCATTTTTACCACTCTTCTCACCCCTAGTACAGGCATTCAGATCATAGCTGGGAAACCGTGATCTCTCTGAAAGTAATGGGAATGTGATGAAAGGATTTAATATATAATCTCAGAACAAATAACAGACATCAGCATAGAAGCTTGCCTATTATTCTATTACCATAACTTCTGCACTGTATTTATAACCCTGGAATACAAGCTTAAGAACCAAGATCATAACAATCTAAGGACATACTACTGCAACAACAGCTGCAAAAGACAACTTCAAATTCCAGGCTTAAAAGCAGCATTTCCTCCAAGTCTAGTCATTTTAATTCAAACCTGAAAGAAGAAATAAGTTTTGGAAGAAAAGGGGAAAAAAAGCACGTTGCTGCAAATTACAGACTTGTGTCAATTAGGAGGCTGCAAAACATTCTGAATTTGAAACAGTATAATTCTGAAATGAGTGCTTATGGCCTTACCAGAATGATCAGCACAACATAAGAACACTTTCAGTAAGGTTAGAACATCTGTTTTGAACCCAAAGAGATTATTTCAAGTCTGAAGCATTTCAAATCCAAAATCTCTTGAACACCATTAATATCAGCTACTAATAGCCAGACCTTCTCAGCACTACCTTTGAACATTATTTTAGAATGCAGAATAAAAGTTGATACATGTCATACATTCTAAATGCGTTTTTGAAAGTTGTTTGATGTGTATGTACAACATGCTGGAGAAAATACAGGCAGTTTGTATTTACTTCATGCTGGATCCATACTAGGGCTTTTACTTTGAAGCCACTCTCAATCTCATCTGAACAGTAATGCCTAACCTTTACTCAACATCCAGAACATCTAAGCCAGTGGAAACTTCAGATCCTTTATTTTCCACCACACTATGTTTCTATCACCGGAAATGGTTCCAAGCCATTCTACCTCAATTCCTTATGCTTAAGAATGTCAGCAATATTTTTGGTGCTTCCCCAAGAAAATACCTTGGACAGTTCTCTCACTCTTCCCATTGCTATTCGATCTGGAAAGAAATGTTCATTGGCCAACTATGCCCATCACTTTAACCAGTTTTCAAGTGGTCCAATAGTTGTGGCATTCAATTTATGAAAGCTCTGTGGTCCAGTGATGAAAATAAGGAGATACGAGTGACCTCAACTTTTCATTTAACCCATGGACCCACATCCTCCCTTTCTCCGCTGCACACACTCTCTTCAAGGCATTGCTCACACTGAATCCGGCTGAGCTATAGTAGGGGATGCATCTACAAGAGGGCCTTGTCAACTCTTGTACCTCAGAAGATGGAACGGTCTGGTCTCCAAAGCATAGCTGGCCATCTTTCTTTCACTGTGTTTCACTGACAGCTGAAGGTAACCTGAATACCTTCAGTATTTTTAGTATCTACTCATTAGACTTCTTTTGGATATGGCAAATGTTTTTATGGATTGGTTTCAGCAGCTGAGCAGAACTACTTGCCTGTTTGATACCACATACAGGGTAGAACTTTTGCAGCAGAAGGGTAGAAAGTAACTGTTTTAATAAATACATCTGCACTGTCTTAAATTTTTGAAGGAAGAGCTGAATATCAATGTGGTAAGCCAATAATGAGATAAGCAACTTTCATCACTCCTAATTACTAGTCTTGCAGGAGGACCCCAGGTTGTGGTGGTCTATGTTCTCTTTTGAAATCTCCCAAAGGTCTTTCTTCCCTAAAAGATCAAAGCACCTACTGCCTGGATCGTCCCTCATGCCACCTCAATTTTCAAACCCCTTAGCCAGGCCTCTCCTTAGCCCACATTTGCTGGCTAATTATGACCCACATATTTAAAGTCAGCCTAACTATGCTTTAATCAACTGATCCCATATTGTGGATTCACACAACACAGTAAACAATAAACTAAGCACATAGACTAGATTCACACAACATGCTAAGGGCAAATGTAGGCAGCTAGTTTGTAATCTACTGCGGTGGGTGACACATCCACTAATTCCCGCTGCAAAATGGCTTGTCAGGACTCTTTCCATACCACCCACCTTCAAAATAGGCCATCTCTCACAGTTCTATTTTCTTACCTTTCTTTCATTCTCTCCTTAGCACTTATTCTTAACTTAAACCAATTACAGCTAGAAAACAGAATTACTGGATCCGTTAAAAAAAAATGTTTTGGTGAACGTAGAATATTACTTTCAGAAACTAACAAGCAAAACCACTCCCTCTCTCTTTAGAGCCTCTTCACCCACTAGCTTGTTCTGCACCCACTCAGGTTTTTATTCGTGCCTGTCTGTGCCCAGGTCAAAGCCAACATGCGGCATATTCTGGACTTCAGAGCTCGCCCACATGCACAGGCTGCGTTCAGTGCCTGCTCTCGCGTGCGGGATCCAATCCCCGAACTGCTTCCAATAACGAGGGCTGGTCTCTGACACGAGCAGACTGCCTGCCCGCCCGTCGGTCAGCTACTTGGGGGCAGACGGGGGGCGGGGGGGGGGATCGGGGTATTTCCGTCCGAAAGGAGACGCTGCGCTAAACGCCGCTCGGCTTACGGGGCATCTTAGTGAGGACGTTGCGCGGCGCCCTCCTGCCCCGCGCCCGCGCCCTCTCGGCCGCTTCTGGCCTGGGCTCATTGACCATCATGAGGCTGCGGAGCCGCTGGAGGCGTTCGGGGTCGGC